CCGTGGCAGATGGAGAAACGGCCTCTGCGCCTGGCCTGGAGGCACTGAGTTCCTGTCATGATGGAGGCCCCGAGAGTGCTAGCTGCTGGCCCAAGGTCACCCGGCAAGGTCATTTCACATACCATGAGCATGTGGACCAGGCCCCATTCTAGTGCCTTATTTTACAGAAGGGGAAAGCCCCTTGTCTAGCAAAGGGGGAGAATCCAGGAGTCCTCCCTCCGGCTGCCGGGACTTTCTTGCTCTTCCTTCAGTGGTTCCCGTTACAGTGCTCTAGTGGGGGGCACCGGCCCCTCACCCAGAGTGGGGCTGTCTAGAACAGCGGTCACTGGCCACATGTGGCTGTGGCTCAGCTCTCCAACGTGGCCACTAGGAAATTTAAAACCACACACGTGCGTGGTTTTCTGGTGGGTGTTGCTGGGCTACAGTATGTCCTTTTACCTGCATAGCCACATTTGAGGATGGACTTATAGTCGGCCACCACAGTTTATAGATGGGGAAACTGAGGCCCAGAGAAGGGAAGAGACCGTCAGAGGTCTTGTGGCTGATAAGAGGCAAAGCTGGGATTTGAACCTAGACCATGCATGTCAGGGACTGGGCTGCTAACCTAGAGCTCTTTGGCTAGCACTGTTATCTGGTCCAGCCCTCAGTCTGGGCCTCAGTTTCCCCAGCCTGCCAGAGAGATTGGGCTGGGCTGGGCAAGGCAGGAGGGTGGGTAGACAGCGTGGTCTACAGTTAACTGGGGTCTTTGGAAACTGACAGCCAGAAAGTCATCAATGAGAGGTGCAGGCAGAAGTTTCCTGGGTGTGTCTGTGTGTGCACTCGGACACACAGGCATGGGAGCACACACGTGTGGGCTGCCCACCCCTGCTGGGGCACATGGTTGTCCTGTGGTTGCAGCCATGGATATGTGAGAACATACAGACTCCATCATGTGTGGTGGACATCGGGGCCCGTGGGCCTGCGCGGCAGAAACCCGCCTGCCTGTACCCGTGCATGTTGTAAAGGCGATAAGCAAAGTCGAACCAGGCGAGAGGTCTGATCTGGGGTCGACTCCTGGTGCTGACACTTATGTCATCCACATGTAGCAAGCCATTACTGAACACCAGTGGCAGGCTAGACACTAAGGGGACATGGCACTGGCCTAGGCACCCCCAGGCTGCTTTCACAGGGCTCACATTCCAAGGGGGCAGACAGGCCCTGATGAGTTGTTACATGGGCACTTATCTCATCCGGGAATCAGTGCAGAAGCCGATTCTGTGAGTTACTGTGCATATAGGTGCCGGCGTTGCTAGGATGCAGGCTCTGGGCCAGGGGCTCTGGGGTGAGGCACGGGACTCTGCATTCCCATAGCTCTCAAGTGAGACCGAGGCCGATGGCCTGAGGACCACACTTGGAGAAGCAAAAGATCTAAAGGACCCTTTGAGAGGGTGATGTCAGGTGGGAGAGACATGGGGAAGGGGAGGCTACTGAAGTCCAGGGCGATGGGAGTAGGAGGACTGTCTGAGGAGGTGGCATTTCATCACAGATCTGAAATAAAGAGGGAACCTTGTGGGTATCTGAAAGAAGAGGCTTTCAGGTGTGGGAGACCAGCTCGTGCAAAAGTCCTGGGGCAGCACTGTGCCTAGCCTAATGGAGAAACGGCAAGGAGGCCCGTGTGGCTGAAACCGAGTGAGCAAGGAGGAGAGAGAGAGGGCATGAGGGCAGGGAGGGCAGATGAAGGCAGGTCATGCAGGGCCTTGTGGGCCACGGGGAGGACTTGGGCCTTTACCCCAAGGGAGGTGGGAGTCTGGGAGGGCTGTGGGCAGACTGGTGACATGGCCCTGATGTAGGTGCCCCATGGGCCCTCTGGCGGCTGCTGCAGGGAAAACAGGCTGGGGGGAGCAAGGAGCTGGGGGACCAGGGTGGAGGGTTCTGGACTGGTCCACGTGGGAGATGATGGGGACAGACCAGGGAGCAGACTGGGAAGGGGTGAGAATTCTGGATAAATCTGAAGACAGAGCCCACAGGACTTTCTGGCAATGGACATGAGTGTGAGAGAATGAGGCTGCAGGGAGCAGGGGTGCTGGGGGAGTTGGAGAGTGACTCCCGGATGCGGCCTGAGCTACCAGCAGAAGCAGGCAGGACCCAGGAAGCACTGGCTGGGTCAGGGAACATCTGCTGTAAGTCAGCAGTTCAACTTGGTGTATCGGTTCAGCACCTGCCAGTGAAAACCCTGAGGGGGTTCGTGTTTTATCTGTTGTTCATTTTCGGATTTACCAGCTGATACTGAAGCCCTGGGTTCCACAAGTAACCCGGACAGCCTGGCCACAAGGTGGAAGGAACATTCCAGAAGGCAATGCAAACCTGTGATAAGCTTAGAGTAACACAGGCAGTGGAAGGCCTGGGAAGTCGGTCCAGGGGCCACGTGACAGTGGGAGGACCTTCCCCTGCTGCCTCAGCTTCCTCATCTGTACAGTGGGATCGCCTGCCGCAACCTGGAGTGATGGTTAAGAGCTCAAGCTGAAAGGCCCAGCCGCAGCGTGAGCCCTTCCAGGCGGGAGCTACCACTGTATCAAGTTTTGACTGTCCCACTCTCCTATGGGTACGTCTCAGGGCTGCAGGCAGGAAGCTTGCCCCCTCTGCAGGCACACAGACACGTGGGCGCACGGGTGCCCTGCACGCAATGGGGTGTGCAGGCTGGCCACGCACTGCCCCGCCTGGTGGCAGCTCCCGGTGGCCAGGTGCTGGGGCAGGTGGTGGGGTGGCTTCCAGGCAGGCAGGCGCCGGGCGGCTGCTAGCAGGGGCGCCTCGAGTTTCACGGAGAGAAGCAGATGGTCGTAGGGGAGCTGGGGGAGGTGCTGAGGCCTCTGGTCACCCCAGGTGGGTTGGCCCTGGAGTGGCCCAGACTCCCCAACAGGAGCATGTGGGGTTCAGTTGTGTAATACTGTGAAAATAACTAACGTGAAAAGACACAGTGTCACTTCACACTCAACAGGATGGCAACCATCAAAAAAACAAAACAAAACAGACACCGAGAAGCGATGGCAAGGGTGTGGGGAAATGAGAACACCGGCACCGCCGGCAGGAATGTGAAGTGCGACAGCGACTGTGGAAAACTGTGTGGCGATTCCTAAAAACGAAAAGAACCAGCCCCAACTGGCTGACTGGTGTGGCTCGGTGCGTTGGGCGGGTATTGCGAACTGAAAGGTCGCCGGTTCGATTCTCTGTTGGGGCATGTGCCCAGTCGTGGGCCAGGTGCCTGGCTGTGAGTGTTACCAGAGGTGATGTTTCACTCCCTCTCTTTCTCCCTCCTTTCCCCTCTCTCTAAAAATAAATAAAAAGAAACTCTTAAAAAAGAACATAGAATTACATTATGACCCAGCAGTTTTACTTCTGAGTACCACGACGTGGCTCATCCACACCCTGGAATTACTATTTAACCTTAACAAGAAGTTCTGCCCCCACTGCTACATGAATGAACCCCGAAGACATTATGCTCAGTGAGGGCAGCCAGACACAGAAGGACAAACGCTGTGTGAGTCCCCCCTGTATGAGGTCCCTGGAGGAGTCAGACCCACAGAGACAGGAAGTAGGTGGTGGGCACCGGGGGACTGGGGGAGGGGGCTAGGGGAGGGGGTGGCAGTCGGTGCTCAGGGGACAGAGGGTCAGTTTGGGAAGGTGAGAAGGTTCTGGGGACGGGTGGTGGCGGCGGCTGCACAACCATGTGAATGTACGTGATGCCACTGAGCAGTTCACTTAAAAATAGTTAAGATGGTAAATTCTATGTTATACATATGTCAGCACAATGTAAAGAATGTTTTTTAAAAATGGCACAGTGCAGACAGAGCACCCGAGAGGTCAGGGCTGCCTGGGCAGTGTGGTGGGGAGCAGGGTCAGGCAGGCAGTCAGGGCGGTGGCCGTGCAGGCTGGGGTCTGGGCCTTGGATCGTGAGGAGGGAGGTGCAGGTCCAGGGAGGAGCTGGGGAAGGAGACTCTTAAGGAAGGAACGCCAAGTCCGTGCACACGGGATCCAGGCATCCTCTGAGTCACAAATCCTGGAAGTTCAGGGTCATGGAGAGGAAGTCCTGGTGCTTCATGCAAGGCCTTCCTGTTTTGGCCTCAAAGACCAGGAGGCAGTCACTCCAGGGCCAAAGTTCGTCACCACCTCCACCACCAGGGGCTCAGAATTTCCTATGAGGCCAGGGCAGGGCTGGGGGTGTCCTTGCTGCTGTGATGGGGGACGTGAGGCATGGAGCTTGCCGGGACTTCTCAGAAGGACGAGGTTGTGGGTTTCTTATTCAGGACCCCTGATCTGCACCCCTTTCTGGAAGGGGTATGGAGGGCTAGGTTCCAGAGGGTGAGTTCTACAAACACTTCCACCAACAGATCATCACTCAGTGGGGGGGGCTGTCTCTACTCCACACGCCTTGAAGGTTCTTTAAATTCCCTGGAGCAGGAGTGAAAAACAGGCCCCTGGAGAGGTAGTGAGGCACCTGTCACAGGGGTACAGGAGCAGGGGACAGAAAGGCTGGACTCCAGAGGAGTCAGGCTTGCCGGGGTCTGTGAGGCCCCTCGCCAGCCGGAATACCCTCTGATTCTAAAGTACCACAATTCCCAGGTTGTGGTTTATAAAATACCAAGAGCCTTTGAATTTTCTTGAGCCTTCCACTTTAAGGTAGTTATGTTTTAACTCTTTGTTTTGAGATTAACTTGTTAATATCTTTTGAAATGTATCTATTATTAGTAGTAGTAAAATTATTTAATATTAAAATTATTTAAATATTCTTATTAATTTTTGTTAGAAACAGTTTCCTGAGCTTTCACTATATGTGGTAAGAAAGTTGCTCTGGTAATTAAACAAGTGCTGGTATTGTTGTTGTTAATGACATGATTGTTGTTAGTTTAAATTATTATCCCAACGGAATTTTTCTGGGAATGGAAGGTCGCGGCCGCTGCGGCTTGTGAGCGCCATCTGGCGGCGAATGCAGGCCACGCCGCTCACTGCCCACCTCTCATCTGCAGGTGTCACCCCTGTCACCCTGACCTCGCCATGCGGACCCCGCGAGTGCCCCCTCCCCACCCGGCCCTATTGCTTCTGCTGCTGCTACTGGGGGGTGCCCACGGGCTCTTCCCCGAGGAGCCGCCGCCACTCAGTGTGGCCCCCAGGGACTGTGAGTGGGGATTCCAGGGTAGGGGCGTCCCAAGGGAGGGTCTCGCTCCCCAACTGAGCCTGCTGCCTCCGCTGCCCCAGGGGCTCACCAGGCCAGGCTCACCGCGGCCCTGAATAGCACTCCCCTCTCCCCCTCCCCCAGACCTGAACCACTATCCCGTGTTCGTGGGCAGCGGGCCAGGGCGCCTAACCACCACAGAGGGCGCCGACGACCTCCACATCCAGCGGGTCCTGCGGGTCAACAGGACACTGTTCATTGGGGACAGGTATGAGGTCGGTCTGGCCGGGTGTGCAGGCTGCAGGGAGCAGGCGGAGCCTTTGGGGGCGTTTTCACGACGGGGTCCGTTCTTTGGCTGGAATGTGAATGTGTGTGCGGGGGTTACAATTTTAAGGGAGCTGAAAACTCTGGGTGTGTGGTTGGAGCAGGTGCTTACTACGGTGCATTAGCAGATGGGGACAACTGTCTGGTCAGAATTCAGTGGGTGCCTCCAGATTCAAAAGCTAAATAATGAGGAGTCAGCCATGAGGAAATTGGTGGAGAGGGAGACAGACATCCAGGCAGAACAGAGGGCACGGCCGGTGCCAAGGCCGGGATTGGGCTTGGTGTGTTAGAGGAACAGCAAGAAGCCTGTGTGGGTGGAGCAGAGTGAGGGGGAGAGAGTGGGAGGTGGGAACAGGCAGGAGGCAGAAGCAGGTTGGTTCAGAGACCCCAGGCTTGAGGATGAGGCTTCGGTTTTCACCTGGAGGGAGGCGGGAGCCCTGGAGAGCTGTAGGTAAAGGGAGGAAACCTGGTTCGGGTGCTCGTATTCGCCCTCTGGTGGCTTCTTTGGGGAGAACAGACTGTTTGCACAGGTCAGGGAGAGCAAGTTGCGAGGGGACTGAGCTGGTCCAGGTGGGAGATGGTGGGGCTGGAACAGGGTGGTGGCCGTGGAGGGGGTGAGAACTAGGTGAATTCCCAATAGACATTAAAGGCAGAGGAGACAGTGTTGGCTGAGGTGTCGGAGTGGGAGGGAGGAGAAGAAGGGAGTTGAGGGTGACTCCCAAGTTATGGCATGCGCCCTCAGAAGGACAGAGCGGGAGAGGAAGTTCAGAGGTGGAAGGCAGGGGAAGGAGGTAGCAAGTTTGAGTGGACAGTCAGGCTCAGAATGGCCACACTGAGTGTGAAATGCCCGCGAGCCCTCTGCATGGTGACGTAAGAGGTGGCTGGACCCCGCATCTGGAGCTCAGAGAAGGCCCAAGCCGGTAACAGGACCGCAGGCATTGTCATGAAGGTGTGTAGTCAGTATTAGAGTGGACAAGGCCACCCAGGAGGGGTGTGGGTGGGGAAGGGAAGAGGCCAGAGAGAGTCCGAGAAGTAGGAGGGAAGCCCTGTGAGTCTGCGGAATGGGGGTCCTTGTGAGAATTTAGTTCCACCTGTGGCGGTCAGACACTAGAGAGGGGAGGGCGACAGAGACCTTACTGCTGTACTGAGTGTTCACTGGTCAGTGGCCTTGGCCAGGGCAGGTTTCCGTGACATGGGGGGAGGGGGGAGCCTAGAGCAAACAAGAGGTGCTGAGTGGGGCACCCCATGTAAGACATTGGACAGTTTATTGTGTTGGGGTTGCTCGTGGCAGAGGAGTTGTCATGCCCTGCATGTCACATGTTGCATGCCACGTCTGCCACCAGGAGAGTGGGACATGGTAGGGGTGGAGGCCCTTCAGTCTCACTAACTGCACCCCTCCCTCAGGGACAATTTGTACCGAGTAGAACTGGAGCCCCCTACCTCCATGGAGCTTCGGTACCAGAAGGTGAGCAGGGGGCCCAGGAGAGAGGGGAGGGGGCAGCGCTCAGGGCTCGCAGCAGAGGGGCTTGACATTGCACTGGGGATTCGGGCCTACTTGGCGGGGGTTCCTAGGACTGCTCCCTGTGTCCTCAGAAGCTGACCTGGCACTCCAACCCCAGTGACATCAACGTGTGTCGGATGAAGGGCAAGCAGGAGGTGAGTGGGCCCTGGTCACGCCCCCAACCAGCTACAACCACGCCCCAAGCCACGCCTCGATGCAGCCGGCCTACCCAAAGCAGCATCTGCCTCTCCCTGCATCCCAGACCTGGACTCTCGTGGTGTTGCTGCTATGCCCAGAGCCTAGCCAGGATCCCCAAATGGTCCTCAGTCATGACCACATCCCCAGGTCTTGCCATAGCTCCACCCCTTCAATGGCGGCTGATAGGGAATACCCCGGTCCTGGCCCCTCCGTTAGTCATGGCCAAGCCCCCATCCGGCCCTTTTTTAGCTGTGTCCATGCCATCCACGTGAGACTAGACAGAACCACATCCCTGCTCATCCCTATAAGTCCTCACCTCAGTCCTGGCTTCCTCTCTGCTCTAGCCACGTCCCATTATGTCCCACAGCCATGATCACGCCCCCACATGGGACCACGCCTACTTCTGTATCTTCCCTCCCCACTCCAGGGTGAATGCCGAAACTTTGTAAAGGTGCTGCTACTTCGGGACGAATCCACCCTCTTCGTGTGCGGTTCCAATGCCTTCAACCCTGTGTGTGCCAACTACAGCGTGAGTCTCCGCCCTTCAAAGGCCTGGTTGCACCAGGTCCAACCTCCGCACCTCTGCTCACCTGCCCTCCATTGGCCAGCCCCTTCCCAACCCACATATCCTCTTACAGGAAGCCTTACTGGATATGCCCTGCCAGCCTCCTCACTCAGAGCTCAAGAGGCTTCCAAAGGAGGCCTGTATGGGATCAGGGAAGCCCTAGTTACTTTGCCTATGACCCAGTTATAGGATTAACCAGAGTCGACTGTTAGACCCATTTACAGATCAACAAAATGAGCCCCAGAGAGGTTAGGTGACTGGTCCAGGCACATGGCATCCAAGGTAGAGGCAGAATTCCCCTTGGAGTGGGAGTATGGGGGTGAGGGGGGCTGCCAGGCTTGGCCAGGAGCTGTCACTCAGGCCCTGTCCCCCTGCAGATAGACACACTACAGCCTCTTGGGGACAACATCAGTGGCATGGCCCGGTGCCCATACGACCCCAAACACGCCAACGTCGCCCTCTTCTCTGGTGAGTGCACCCCACAGCCCAACTCTGCCCATCTGACGGGGTCCCAGCCTCAAGCGAGGCACTGCACCTTCTGCTCTCGGAGTTGGGTCATTTAGAAGCAGCCGGGAGACTGTCTCTTCAGCTGTGGAACAGGCGGAATCTCAGTCGGGGCTCAGGGCTTAGTGGGATCAGGGGCTCAGCCTGGGCTCAGCCTAGAGACAGGGCTCACTTTGTCTCAGAGAGGTAGACTGAGAACCTTGGAAGATGAAATTTTGACCCGCACTGCTTTGGCCTCTGCGGTCCAGTCGGTCCCTCACCTGCTTCCCCCATCACCCCTACACAGAGGGAATGCTCTTCACAGCCACCGTTACCGACTTCTTAGCCATCGATGCCGTCATCTACCGCAGCCTTGGGGACCGGCCTACTCTGCGCACAGTGAAACACGACTCCAAGTGGTTTAAAGGTTGGATGGATAGTCATTGAATCCCCACCACCACCCCACCATAATAAGAGTCCCAGAGGAGTCAGGGAGGGGACTCCCATCTCATCTCTGGAACCTACTGGCCTCTTTAAAGACAAAGCCAGAGGAAAGACTGAAGTTGGATCTGAAGTAGAACTTGCTAGGAATGGGTGGCTTGGAAGCCCAAAATGGAACTACAAGACGGGTATACAGTAGGAGCTCAGCTCTTTAACACAGGAGGGAGGGAGGTGACAAGAGCAGTAGATGTTGTTGTTTGTGGAGGGTAGGCACAGTGGTTTTAAGATTCTGACACCCCTCCCCTCAAAACCCCCAAAGTTTGAGTGTTTTCTTTTGCCTGGGTAATCAACTGATGTCCCCCCTTCACCGTAAAAGAAGCCACCTAGGCTGATGTGTTCTCAGCTCCGGAAGCAGCTTTCTCACGTGGGCGGGGTTCCGCCCCCTCCTCTCCTGCAGAGCCCTACTTTGTGCACGCGGTGGAGTGGGGCAGCCACATCTACTTCTTCTTCCGGGAGATCGCAATGGAGTTTAACTACCTGGAAAAGGTAAAGCCTACTCTCCCCTGCCTGAGAGGCCCCGGCAGTGGGGCGTGGAGCTGAGAGGCGTCCATTCATGCGCACATCTGTCCACTGACTATCTTCATCATCTCCCTCTCCCTCAAAGCACTCACGTACCCACGCATCCACCCACTAGTCCACCCTCCCACTCATTCCTCCTCCCTCTACCTGCCCGTCCATTCCCTCGGCCAGACAGCTCAGTGCGCAGACGGCCTTAGCCAGTCACTTCCCTTCTGTGTGCCTCGGCCACTGTCTGTACAGTGGGGGTGTCAGTAGGCCCTCCGCTGTAGAGCTTTGAGAGTAAGGGATGATGAGAATCCAGTGCCAGGTTCGCGGTGAACGATCGTGAGTGTGATTCTGACCACGGTCCTTGCATTGCTGTGACCCTCACTGTCACCCCTACATTTCCACTGGGGAATCAGTGCCCCGGAAGGCACAGTGGCTGGCCGGGACGCCACGGTGAGCCGGGGCCAGGCTCCTTCCTCCAGCCTGAGTGGTGGGCAGCATGCCCTTTGGGACACAGGGCTCAGGCCTGTCTGCCCACTGCCGTGCCAGGTGGTGGTGTCGCGTGTGGCCCGGGTGTGCAAGAACGACGTGGGGGGCTCCCCGCGTGTGCTGGAGAAACAGTGGACGTCCTTCCTGAAGGCGCGGCTCAACTGCTCCGTGCCCGGGGACTCCCACTTCTACTTCAACGTGCTCCAGGCCGTCACGGGCGTGGTCAGCCTGGGGGGCCGACCCCTGGTCCTTGCCATCTTCTCCACCCCCAGCAACAGGTCAGTGGGTGTCCACGGGGCGGACGGAGGGCCCGGGGTGGACACGAGTGGAGAGGCCCCACAGTCACTCGTCGCCTGTTCCCCGGGGCCCCGGACCCTCCAAGGCCTGTGGGTCCCAACTGGGCAGAGGGGGGACATCAGCATCCACTGCCTTGGAAGGAGGGGTCAGAGAGAGCCACTGGAGGAGGGGACATTGGAACTAGGCCTCGGCAGGTGTGAGAAGGAGGAAAAGCGGACAGTGTGCCAAGTTGTAGGAAGAGCGTGCACAAGGCTACGATGAACTCGGCGTGTTTAAACAATAGGGAGGAGCCCAGGTGGCCAGAGTGGAGGGAGCAAAGGGGAAGGTGGGCAGTGCGAGGGCAGGGAGGTGGTGGTGCGGGGAGGAGCCTGGGTTCTGCCTCGGGAGCACGAGGGAGCCGCGGGAGAGTGAGGAACTGAAGGGGGGTGGGTCGTGAGGGGCAAGAGTGGTATCCGGGAGACTGAACATTCAGGCAGCGGCAGTGAAGGCCAGCACGCCGTGGTTGTGGAGGGTACAGGGCCCTGTTGAGCACTGTTCAGGAGGCTGAGCGACTGGTTGGGGCAGGCGTGTGGCGTCTCTGGCCCAGGGGACTACACATCTGACAGCTCTGGGGGTTAAAGGACCCTCCACGCGGGCGCCCGCGGCTCACTGCTCCCTTGCGCCCGTCCTCCCCAGTATCCCGGGCTCTGCCGTCTGCGCCTTTGACATGACACAGGTGGCTGCCGTGTTCGAAGGCCGCTTCCGTGAGCAAAAGTCCCCCGAGTCCATCTGGACGCCTGTGCCAGAGGATCAGGTGCCGCGGCCCCGGTGAGAGTCCCCTCCGTCCTGAGACAGGTGCCCGGGCGGGGTGCTGTCCCCACGAGTGTGGGCCAGGGACTCCCAGGCAGTTGTTTAGCTGTTGCCAAGTTCAGCCATCTCCATTACACAGATGAGGGAAACTGAGGCCCTGGGGGTAGGCAGTGGGTCCCCTGGAGAATCCCCTGTATGGGGACCCCCAAACTGCCCTGACCACCCTGTCCTGCCCGCAGACCTGGGTGCTGTGCCGCTCCCGGCATGCAGTACAATGCCTCCAGCGCCTTCCCCGATGAGATCCTCAACTTCGTCAAGACCCACCCCCTAATGGATGAGGCGGTGCCCTCCCTGGGCCACGCACCCTGGATAGTGCGGACTCTGACACGGTCAGTCCCCACGTGTGGCTGGGGTCCTGTGGGGACAGAGGGTGAAGATGAAGGCCCAGGAGGGGTGGCGGGTGGCGGCAGGAGGACGGGGCTGGTGGAGGACACGAGGGGAGGAGGGAGAGCAGTGGTGGTGGAGACGGTGTGCGTGCAGCTCTGGGACGGACGGGAGACGCACAGAGAGAGACACAGAGGGTGGGAGACAGGGGGGGACAGAAGGACCGAGAGGTTCGGGGTGAGAGGCGGGCCCAGTGGAGCCCAGTCTGGGTCTGTTTTGGAGGAGGGCGGTGTGGAGCCGTGTAGCCACACCTGTGCCGCCTTGTCCACTGTGGGGGGTGTCCCTCTGTCTGCCCCGTGGGGGTGGGGCCAGACTGACCCCTCCTGCCCTGGCCACAGGCACCAGCTGACTCGAGTGGCCGTGGATGTGGGCGCCGGCCCCTGGGGCAACCAGACCGTCGTCTTCCTGGGCTCCGAGGTGGGAACCGTCCTCAAGTTCCTCATTTGGCCCAATGCCAGTGCCTTGGGCACCTCTGGACCCAGCGTCTTCCTTGAAGAGTTCGAGACCTACCGGCCAGACAGGTGGGGCCTGGCAGAGGCCGGGGGTTGGGCCAGTGGCAGGGAGATGGGACATAACTCTTGAGTCTCACTACTCTGCTCACCTCCAGGTGTGGACGGTCAGGCGGCAGCGAGATGGGGCAGCGGCTGCTGAGCCTGGAGTTGGACGCGGCCTCGGGAGGCCTGCTGGCGGCCTTCCCGCGCTGTGTGGTCCGTGTGCCCGTGGCCCGCTGCCAGCAGTACTCAGGGTGCATGAAGTGAGTGCCCCCGGGCCCGCAGTGGGGGCGCGTGGGGGACCGAGGGGAGAGGAGCACGGCAAGAAGGAAAGAGCTGAGCTTGAGTTAAGGGCCCAACAGCATCCTGACTTGGAAGACGAGCAAGGCAGAAGGCAGAGCATCTGCAAAGGCCCTGGGACAGGACCATGTCTGGGGTTTTAGGGGAACAGGAGACGCCTCTCCATGTGACTGGAGAGGAGTCAGTGGAGAAGGAGGTGTGGGCCGCGGGGAGGACTCGGGCTCTTATCCTGAGGCCGGTGGGAGCCCTGGAGGGCGGTGGGCACAGGAAGGGTGGAACCTGTGTGCCATTTTTAGGAGCAGTGGGAGCGGAAACTGGGGACCAGGGAGGTGGCTCTAACAGGGGCAGAAAGACCAGATGCAGAGTTCTGGTGCCCCCTGAACTCCGTGTGAGCCCTCCGCACTGAGAAACACGCCCACAGCCGCTGCCCCAACAGCAGTGGTGCCCAAGCCCAGGCCCCTGCTGGGCGCCCAGCTGGCTCTGCTGCTCTGGCAAAAGTGACCTTCCCTAGGCCTCTGTTTTCTTATCTGTAAAATGGAGGCCCAACAGCGCCCACCGCAGAAATTTGTGGCTCCCGAGGCTCCCGAGCCAATAAGCAGGAGGAGGCGCCGTGTGAGAGGCTGTGGTTGACCGGCCTGCGGGCCCCTTGTTTGCTCTAGGAACTGCATCGGCAGTCAGGACCCCTACTGCGGCTGGGCCCCGGACGGCTCCTGCATCTTCCTCAGCCCTGGCACCAGGTAGAGGAGGAGAGAACAGTGCGGGGGAGGGCTCTGGGAGAGGAGTGTCTGCTCACTGTGCCTGTCCTACCCTGCTTAGGGCCACCTTTGAGCAGGATGTGTCCGGGGCCAGCACCTCAGGCCTAGGGGACTGCACAGGTAAGTGAGGGAAAGGGAGGAGAACTGGGGCCCTCCCCGGGGCTCTCGTGTCCTTGGCTGCCCATGTCCGGATGGGTGGGGGGCTAGCTTTGCAAGGGCAGGGGTCCCACTTCCAGGTAGGAAGGTAGGTGAGAGACAGAGAGAGGCCAAGAGACAGATAATGGACAAACTGAAGGGACAGACAGATAATGAGACCCAACGGATGCCGGAGACAGATGCCAAGAAACAAATGGACAGGCGGGCTTTGAAGTGACAGACAGCACAGGACAGTCAGACGAGCAGACCTGGAGAGGACAGACAGACTCCAGAGAAACAGCCTCTGGGAGACAGACAGGCTTCGGAAGGGACAGAGACGTCATAAGGTAGACAGACTTTGAGAGGACAGACAGATGGGCAGACGAGCCTGAGGTGGCCAGAGGTGTGGACAGAACTGTCCCGCAGCTGCGCCTCTCACACGGCCCTCTCGGCCAGGACTCCTGCGGGCCAGCCTCTCGGAGGAGCGTGCCGGGCTGGTGTCAGTGAGCCTACTGGTGACATCGTCGGTGGCGGCCTTTGTGGTGGGTGCCGTGGTATCAGGCTTCAGCGTGGGCTGGTACGTGGGTCTCCGAGAGCGGCGCGAGCTGGCCCGCCGCAAGGACAAGGAAGCCATCCTGGCCCACGGGGGCAGCGAGGCTGTGCTGAGCGTGAGCCGGCTGGGCGAGCGCCGGGCAGGTGGTCCTGGGGGCCGGGGTGGGGGTGGCAGTGGAGCTGGGGGACCCCCGGAGGCCCTGCTGGCCCCCTTAATGCAGAATGGGTGGGTCAAGACCACACTGCTGCAGGGCCCCCATGACCTGGACTCAGGGCTGCTGCCCACGCCCGAGCAGACGCCACTGCCCCAGAAGCGCCTGCCCACCCCACACCCCCACGCCCTGGGCCCCCGTGCCTGGGAGCACAGCCACCCCCTGCTTCCAGCCTCTGCCTCCTCCTCCCTGCTGCTGCTGGCCCCCGCCCGGGCCCCCGAGCAGCCCCCTGTGCCCAGCCGGGCCTCCCACGGTGACTTCCCGCTCACGCCCCATGCCAGCCCAGACCGCCGGCGCGTGGTGTCTGCGCCCACAGGCCCCTTGGACCCAAACACAGCAGCCTCCGACGGTTTCCCTCGGCCCTGGAGCCCCCCGCCCACGGGCAGCCTGCGGAGGCCAGGCCCCCAGGCCCCAGCAGCCGCCGCCCTGCGTCGCACGCACACATTCAACAGCGGTGAGGGCCGGCCAGGTGACCGTCACCGTGGCCGCCACGCCCGGCCCAGCACGGACTTGGCCCACCTCCTCTCCTATGGTGGGACAGACAGGACTGCGCCCCCTGTGCCCTAGGCCAGGGCCCCCCGACGCCTCGGCTGTGCCAGCCACGGGAACAGGAGCAAGAGACCAGGCCCAGCTCCGAGTGGGTGCTCAAGACCCCCACCCCAGCGCACAGGGCGCGCGGGGGGGCCTCCGCCACATGGAAGCACAAGGCTTGGCCCCCCCACCCTGACCCGGGGCCGCGGGACACTAGGCGGTTTGGGGGGCGGGGGCGGGAGGATGTGCTACGGATTTGAGGTTGATCTTCTGTGCGTGGTTTGGGTTTGTTTCCAATTTGCGTTTTATTTTTGCAGTTTTCTACCCAATTGCACAACTCCGTTCTCGGGGTGGTGGCCAGGGGCTTGGAGGTGGTGGGATGAGGAGGGGGCCACAGCTGCAGACCCAAGTGCCCCCCCTCCGGGTCCCTCCTTGACCCAGGCTCCTGGCGTGTGTGAGTGTGTGTGTGTGTGTGTGTGTGCATGCCGTGTTGGTGTGCGAGGGGCCGGGAAGGGGAGGGAGGTGTGTGTGCGGATGCCTGCGAGGGCTGCTACCGGCGTGTGCGTGGGGATGGGCACTCATGCCGAGTGCGTGTCTGTGTGTGAGTGCAGCGGCCTCAGCGGCCTGGGCATTGGCTGAGCCAACGCAGGGGCTTCCAGAAGGCTGGGGGTCCTCCAAGGTGCCGGATAGGAATTTGAGGGGAGACAGTGAAGGGTTTTAGGAAAGGGGGTCCAGGAGGGCCTGCCCGTGAGTCATACTGGCAGCAGCTGTGTAACGGTCTGGGGAACAGCAGAGGCGGGTGGGCCCCCCTGTAAATATGGCCCCAGGGTGGTCAGAGGGTCCCACGCCACCTGTCCCCTGTGACCTCCCCTTTGACCTCCAGCTGACCCTGCATGCCAGCTGAGTGGCCAGTTGAGGCCTGGACCCTCTCTGGAATTTGCCTCCCCAGCCCCCTCCCCATCAATAAAACTGTTTACAACCACCGGCCCCCAAGGCTCTGGGTCTGCTCTGTCTCCCAGGAGTGGGGCCTGCGCAGCGGCGTGGCCCTTACACAGCTGGGGGGCACCTGCAAGACTCACCGCTGGGGCACAGCAGCCAACAGAACTCGGGGGCACCAGGGGCACCAGGGGCACGGAGTGTGGGAATGCAGAGAGTTGGGGGCAGTCCCTGTCTTCATCTGGCTGAAGGACCCGTGTCTGACTGGTCCTCCAGCAAATATTTACTGTGTACCTACTATGTGCCAGACACTCTGAGGGCACAGACCCCTGTCCTCACGGAGCTCACCACCTAGTGGGGAGCCTGACACATACAAGCAGGTGAGGACATGATCTGAGGCAGCGCTATGCGTAATGAAGTAAAAACCAGATAATGTGCTGGGGAGGGGTGCCTGGGGGGAGGGGTGCTGGAAGTGACATCTGAGCTGAGGCAGGAATTGGTGAGAAGGGGCCACCCTGGGGAGACGTGCAGAGGGAACAGCCAGCGTGAAGGCCCCGAGATGGGAATTCGTGGGAGGAGGGGTGAGGAGGCCAGCCTAGAGGAGCAGCCGGGGAGGGGCCTTCCGGTGGAGATGCAGGGAGAGGAGGACAGGCCCTAGGTCGGCAGGGCCTCGCAGCTGAGGAGCACGATTTTCGTAACCATGGTGAAGTATGTATAAATATACGCAAACCCAAATGTGCCATGCCAGCCTTTTTTAAGCGTTCAGTTCAGTGGCATGAGGTCCGTTCATGCTGTTGGGCGACCATCCCCATCGTCCATCTCCAGCACTTTCTCACCTTCCCAAACAAAAACTCCGCCCTCACGAAGCACTAACTCCTCATCCTGCTCCGCACTCACCCAGCCTTCGGAGTTTTAAGTTAGATGGGAAGCCACCAGAGGGTCTCAGGCAGGAGACGTGATCTGATTTCATTTTAAGAGGCTGCTTCAGCATTATGTCATTACGGCTCACAGCCCTCCCTTCCAGCCTGTGTCAGTGAAGCACCTACTGTGTGAACAAGACAGACCCGGTTTCCCCTTGCCATGAGGGAAACTGATACTCAACAAAGAAACTCAAAACACTGTGACAGCATCTAACAGCTCCTCCTGAATTTGTGCGTGTCTGGTTTTTTTCAGCTTGAGGTATAACTAACATATAACATTATGTAAGTTTCAGGTGCACAACTCGATAATCTGATATATGTGTATATTGCAAGATGATGACCACAAAAGGGTTAACGCATCCATTACCTCACACAGTTGCCTGTTGTGTGTGGTCCGAACATTTACAATCCACTGTCTCAGCTACTTTCAAGTACACAATGCAATATTCTCAACTACAGTTGCTGCTGCTGTACTTTAGATCCCAGATCTTACTGGTAACTGCAGTCTGTGCCCTTAGGCTGACATCTCCCATCCCCCGCCCCAGCCCCTGGCAAGAACCGTTCTACTATCAGGGTCTATGAGTTCATTTTTTTTTTTTCAGATCCCACATATAAGTGAAATCACACAGTATTTGTCTTTCTCTGACTTATTTCACTTAGCATAATGCCCTCAAGGTTCACCCATGTTGTTGCAAATGGCAGGATTTGTGTCTTATTTCATGGCTGGGTAATATTCCTGTGTGTGTGTGTGTGTGTGTGAATAATGTTGCAATAGCCACAAGGGTGCAGACAGCTAAAGACAGTGACTCCATTTACTTCAGATAAACGCCTAGACTCGGAGTTGCTGGGTGGTGCGGCAGCTCCATTTCTAACCTTCCGGGGAACCTGCACGTTGTTCTCCACAGCAGCTGCCGCATCTCCTATGTCCCCACCAACAGTGCAGACGGCTCCCTCTCCTCCACCTCCTCTGTGACATGTGTTATTTCTTGTCCTACTGGTAATAGCCATTCCACCAGGTGTGAGGTCATATCTCATGGTCGTTTTGATTTGCGTTTCCCTGGTGATCAGTGATGCTGAGGATCTTTTCATGTATCTTCTGGCCATTTATATGTCTTCTTTGAAAAAATATCTGCTCAGGCCCTTTGCCCTTTTTGGTGTGTTCTGTTTTGTGTGTCTCCCCAGGCCTGCCATTCTGTCCTGTGTGTCCTGCTCTGCCCGTGTCTCTCTTGGGTTCTATGTATTTTTGCTTTCTCTGTGTCAGTATCTATGTCTGTGGAGTCGCATGTGTCTATCTGTCATTCTTTATCAGTGTCTGTCACTGTCAGCCTATGTGTTTGTCTCTGAGCCTGTGTGTTCACTGAGACAGAACACAGTCACCCTCACAGCTGAATAGGGACAGGCCGTTAACGGATGGGGCCAGGGAGAAGAGGCTGTCACTAGACAAGACAGATAAAGATGTCAAAGCACCCGTGAACTTTTAGAGCTCAACAAGAATGAAAGCACTGAATAGCCAAACCCATGAGATGCAGCCAAAGCCATTCTTAAAGGTAAATGTGTAGCCTTCGAATGCATTCACTAGTAAACAAAAGATCCAAAACAAATAGTGCATCAGCTTAGGATGAAGAAAGAAAGCACAACACCTGAAACCTATGTGATTTTATTAACCAGTGTGACCCCATTAAATTCAATTAAAAAGAAGAATAGACGGGTCTCGGACATTGAATTCCACTTCACTGATGGGGAAACAGAGGCCAAGAAAAGTTAAGCTACTTGCCCACGGTCACAAAGCAAAGCAGTCCTAGCACAGCTGGGATTCAGACCGAGTTTAGCCCTTCCCAGACCATTGTTCAAAGGCCTCAAAGATTTTTGGCATCATCACTTCTGAACTGTATTTCTAAAAAATTATTTCAATAAAAATATATCCAACTACATGTCATAAATTCAAGACCAAGTGTTTTTTGTTCTCTTCGCTGCACTTCCCGGTTGCTCAGATGTGTCATAAATAGTACCTCTTGCTCAAAGAGCTGCCCCATCCCCCAGGCTTGACCCTTGATTCCTGGGTTGAAAGTAGGGACTCAGCCCCAGAGGTTCTGAGGTGCCCACTTCCCAAAAGCAGGAATCAGGGAAGGAAAACTTGGCTGAAGCAGGGACTAGATGGGGTGGGCAGAGACCCTCTGCTGTCCTCCTCCTGCCGGGAAACAATTTTGCAATCCTGACCCCTCCCTTTCCCCTGCCTGGCTCAGGTTTAGCCACTATCAGGAACAGGATGTGGGTGGGGACTTCCCTGTGGTTGGTGCCTCTTCCCCCAGCCCAGGCAGGTATAAGGCTAACTCACCAGACCAAAGGAACCTAGCCGGAAAAGAGAGAGGCCACCATGTCCTCCTGGAGCCCAGAGGGAATCCAGAGGTAGGTCCCCCTGCCACTCCTGGGCAGGCTTGGCCAACCGGCAGTGCAGAGACATTCCATCCGACCACTGAAGCCGTGGGGCCAAACCGCAGGACCACTGGCTGGAGCAAACGGACACTCAGGCTCCACTAGGACGGGCTTGCTCCCATCACGCACTGGCCTGCAGACCCCCCGGACAGGGTGTGGGAGCCCACCCCCAAAGTCAGAGGCCTGCTGCAGGGACCGGGAGGAGCAGAAGCCCCAGCCCGCCCAGGGTTTCAGTGCCAGCTGGAAACCACCCAGTCCCAAGGCCAAACGCCTGTGCCCAAACCTGCTTCAGGCACTTTTCATATTCAGGGTCCTGTTCTCACCTGAGCCCTGGGTTGTACCTGAGTGCTGGAAGCAAGAAGGAGCTGGACACAACCTAGCCTGGTTTAGTCAGGGCTGAACAGAAAGAGGAGGAGCACAGAGGGGAAACTGAGAATGCTGCTTGGGAGTGTCAGAGAAAGCTTCATGGGAAAGGGGGCATTGGAGTTAGGGGCTTTGCAGGATGGGTAGGAGTTGACTGGCTCTGCCTTTAAAACCCACAGAGGAGAAGGTGACTATACTAGTCCAGCAAGGCGATGAGGGGTGTGGGGTGGAAGTACAGATGAGAAGAAGTGGGCAGATTCTGGGTATAGTCTCACTGAGCTGGGTATATTTTTATTTTGGCTCATTAAGTTCCTTCTGTCATTGCCTGCAGCCCAAGGGGCTTGGACCCCCTTCTTTCTAGAACCCTGTTCCTGCTGCTAATAATTGTGGCCCCCTCAGCCCAGGGGGTCACCCCAACCCCTGAAGCCTGCCTTGTGTTCCAGTCAGAAAACGGCAGCACCGTCATCTGCCAGCCACCTGCCAAATTCTTGAGCTACCTCCGAGCCGACGCCACCTTCCTGTCTGTGGAGTTCTACAACCTCACCCAGCTGCCACCCGACATCCTCCAGGACATGTCTAACCTCCGAGAACTGCACCTTTCCAGCAACGGGCTGAAGAACCTCTCAGCCAAGTTTCTGTTACCTGTGCCTCAGCTGAAGGTGCTCGATCTGACCCGCAACGCCCTCACCCGGCTGCCCCCGGGCCTCTTCCAGAACTCAGCTGCCCTCCACACCCTGGTGCTGACAGAGAACCAGCTGCAAGTCCTGGAAGCCTCATGGTTGCATGGCCTGAAAGCCCTGGGGCATCTGGACCTATCTGGAAACCGCCTCCAGACACTGCCCAATGGCCTGCTGGCCAACTTCACCGATCTGCGCATCCTTGACCTTAGCAAGAACCAACTGGAAACTTTGCCCCCTGACCTTCTGAGGGGCCCCCTGAAGTTGGAGCAGCTGCACCTGGAAGGCAACAGATTGCGAGCACTTGAAGAAGGCCTGCTGGTGCCCCAGCCAAACCTGCATCACCTTTTCCTGAGTAATAACCAGCTGACCACAGTGGCGGCCAGCACCTTCCGAGGTCTGAATCAGCTGGACATGCTGGATCTCTCCAACAATCTACTGACCAGCGTGCCCAAGGGGCTCTGGGCCTCCCTGGGGAAGCCCAGAGCAGCCTGGGACATGAAGGATGGCTTTGACATCTCCGGTAACCCCTGGGTCTGTGACGAAAACTTGGATGACCTCTATCAGTGGCTTGTGGACAATAAAGACAAGATGTTCTTCCGGAATAACACATGTTGTGCTGAGCCTAAAGCCGTGAAGGGCCAGACCCTACTGGCTGTGGCCATAACCCATTTGAAGCTTAAGGCTGGGGTGGAGATGGGTAGGGACGGCCTGGCAGAACACTGCAGCCCGCTGGGCAATTAATTGCCCCTTTGAAGGGTGAGGCAGGCAGTGCATAATTGCTGGACCCATGTTGCCCACACCTCCCAAAACACTTCTTAGGCCCTGGGACCTCCTTGCCCTTGCTCAGGCCACATCCTCTTCTGGGAACGCCTTCCCCATATCGCAGATCTCTTGGTCTCCCTGTCCCTCAGCTCCCTCGCCCTCCCCCTGGCACAGCCCGGCCCACACTGGGGCTGTCTTTATCTGGCTCTGGCTCTCTCCCCCTCCAGTTAAGGGGGGCCTCTGAGTTCAGGGCCTGAGTTGCCTCTTATTCATCACTTAGGGGTCAGACCCAAGGGGTTTAATAAATAATTGTCAAACAGAATTGTACAAATTAGCGTGCACTGTGTTCCTCCATCTCCCAAGTCACTGTCTTCCTGCAACTTCCTAAGTCTCTAGGATGAAGGAGGAAAGAAGAGACTTGAACCAGGATGTGGGGTGCTGGACTGGAAATTCCAAATGGATGGCAATTGGGATCTGATGGCCTGTGGCTGGTCCTCCTCCTCCCTTCTATCCTGAGCTTTAACTGGAAATAAAACTCTGACCGTTGCCCGGGGTGTCATTTTACTGGTGGATTCCTGCCAGAGCTTGTGCCCTGGGGAAGGTTTAAATTAAACCAGATTGCTTCAGGTCTCCAAACAATTTGTCATGCTGGCCAGTGGTAACCCAGGGGGCAGCCACCCAGGGCAAGTGTGGGCAGGCTGGATGAGGCTGAACAGATGGGCAGAAGCCCAGGGAGCTGCGTTCTCACGACGCAGAACCTGGAACCACCTGCTGACACAACCCTGGGAATACTGGGTGCCAGGGTCAGATTTGGGGGTCCTGGGAACTTCAGGGCCATGCTCAGGTTTCCAGTCCCCAGGGAGGTATGTCATGCCTGTTGGTGGTCATTGTAGCCACGATGATGAAAAAGCCAGAGTCTGGAGCCTGGCAGAGCTGGGTTTAAATAAAATCCTTCGATCGCTGTGGGACCCAGGGTGAACGGTTTAAGCATTCTGAGTTTCAATTTGCTCATCTGTAAAACAAGAATCTGAGGGAATGGGCCGGCCAGGCTCCTGGTTTAGTTAAGCGGCGGATTGAAAAAAAAAAAAGAACATTAAGGACTTGCCTGAGGTCACTGGGAGTGGAGGTGGGTGCTGTGATCGCCCTCCACTGAGGGTGATACGGAAGTAAGCTCAACCCATGGGCATCCAGAGTCCCCCAGCTGCTTTGGCAACCGCACAGGGATCTGGGAGCATCAGAGAAGAGCAAGTGGGCCTGGAGTCCCGCCCCAGAGGCACGCCCCTACAGGGTCTCTCTCTATTGGTTGGTCCCCAGAGGCTCCGCCTCCAGAGCCACTATAAGGCGGGAGGGGCGGGCAGGGGGTGGAGACTGGAGCCCAAGTCCGGGGTCCTTGGCGGTACCAGGGGGCTGAGGCTGCATACACCCAGGTGAGTACCACGCGGGTGGCGTCCAGGAGCGCTCTGCAGGCCTGGGAGGTCCTGAATTGGGTGGGCAGGCGAGAGTTCAGCAAGAGAGAGGTGACAGGCCGGAGCAGGTGGCTGAGACCCTTGGCCCAGTTGGCTGAAACTCAGGACCTGGGTGGGCGGGGACCACGGCTCTGAAGGCCTGGAGTGGGGATGAACTGCCGGCGGGGAGTATGAGGTCGAACTATCTACTCTGAGTCAAGCTTAAGCTGAGTGACCTTGAGCCCAGCATGCACCGCTGTGTGCCTCAGTTTTCCTGACTGTCAAACTGATTGGGTTTATTGGGATTCTACAGTTACCACCTGCATCCCTGTAGGGGGCTGCTTGTGCAGTTCTGTGCAGGGCAGGGACAGCAGGGACCTTCTCTACTTTGCAGAAGAGCAAACAGCCCAGAGAGGTGAAGGCATTTGCCCAAAGTCACACAGCAGATAATGACAGCACTCAAACCCTAAGCCCATGCTTTGAATCACTACAGAGCCACCTCCTTGCCAGAGGCTCTCTCATGTGTACCTACTGTGTGCAGAGTCCTGTGCATGCACTATCTGTGCTCCTCATGACATTCTGAGGAAAGTATTATCATTACCCCATTTTTCAGATGAAGAAATTGAGGCCCCAAGAAGGAACAAAACTTCCTGGAGTCAGAGGCTCTTAGGCTGCAAACAGAACCCAAGGCCTGGGAGGGAGATGGGAGGGTTAACCCCCCTCACTTTGTCCTGGTCCCCAGGTGACCTTGTTTGCAGCAAGCATGTCAGAGGATGAGGCGGCTCAGGCCCACAGACCCAGCTTGTGTGAGCAGGACCAGCAGGTGAGGGTGCACCTCCTGCGGAGCAGGGCATGGGGAAGAGTGGGGTACAGCCCCTCCCCAAACAGCTACAGGCTGGTTACCCCCTATCGCCTCTATCTGTGATGCGAGCACCTCGCTCTTAGAGCATTTTGGACCATGGAGGCTGGCGTCTCAGCACCTCCTACCCTTTCCCAGCGAAGCACGGAGAAGCCCGGGGAAGGGAGTATCTCTCCAAGCAGACCCAGCTGGCTTACCTGGCCCCTGCCCAACTTTCCCTCTCCCACTCTGGGTCTGCCCGCCCACACCTCCTTGTTTCTGCGTCCAGCATCACGGCACTCTTAACAACCACAGCAGCAGCTGCAGCACTCGCAGCCCTACTCTGCATCAGTCAGTGTTCCAAGGACTTCACATACATTGGCCCCCAGCATGTCAGTCATAGCTCTGGAATCCAATTTTACAGAGTGAAGACCAAGGCACCAAGCAGTTCACTCACTTGCCCAAGCTCACAGCTTGGAGGTGGCCGAACCACAACTGAATACAGGCAGTTTTGCTCCAGAGGCCGTGTGCCCTTAGCGACCAGACTCTTTCAGAACTTGTCACGCTGTGCGTGTGCTATTGAGAACAGGAGCCTGTGAGCACCTTCCTGGGGGTTTCCTCTGCTGGGCACAGCCAGGTGCTCAATACGCCCTCTTGCCCACCCCTCATTCTGGCCCATAGAGAGAAAGTGGGCTAAAGGGTGGCTGAGACTCCCACCTCCCTGGGGACCCTTTTGATGTTTCCCCTTCCCACAGAGCGCGGTGCAGCGAGTCGTGGCTCTGCCCCTGGTCCGGGCCACATGCACTGCCGTCTCCGGTGCGTATAGTGCAGCCAAGAATAGGCACCCACTGCTGGGCTCTGCCTGCCGCCTGGCCGAGCACTGCGTGTGCAGCCTCACCACCAGCGCCCTGGACCACGCCCAGCCACTGCTCAGCCACCTGCAGCCTCAGCGTGAGTCCCCCTGGCCAGAGAGTCCTTTGGTTGCCCTGTGGTTCCACCCTCTCCTGCTCCATCGCATGGCAGGCCCTGGGGTGGACCCCAGGATCTGGGTGTCCTTCCACAGTCTTACCTGTCCTGTCCTGCCTTCAGTCTGACTGCCTCCCCCGCATCCACCCGTGTCTTCTCGCTCAGTCCTATTTTGCTTGTCCTACTATGCAGTTTACTTGTGGTCCCCTCCTTCTGTCCCCATTCCATCTGTCTTGATGTCGTCCTCCCTTGTTGGTTGGCCTGCTGTGCCTTGGGTTCCCTCTGCCTGCCCATCCTCCTTCCCCCATCTGCCCCTTTGTCCTTGCCTCCACCTGCCCTGAGCCCCACATTTCCCCAGACCTGTGACCAGCTCAGGAGTCCAACCCAACAGCCTGATGGGGGGAGGGCAGAAAGGCTCTAGAAGGGGGTCACCTGAGGGGCCCAGTCCAGGGCCTCCCCACCTCTTTTGCTGGCTTGAATGACCTTGAGCCTGCTCGCTGCTGCGGCATCTGAGCTGAGCAGTGGTGTGGAGTCACCTTGGTGCTGGCAGAAGCCAGTGGCAGAGCAGAGGTGGGGAAGGCAGAGGGGGCAGGGCCCAGCTGGATGGCCCACACACACCCACAGGGTCTCCAGCCCCTCAGGGGACCGGCCAGGTTGTCCCTGCCAAGCAGGCTTTCCTTGACCTCTCCCTATCTTGTCTCTCTCTCCCTCCCTCCCTCCCTCCCTGTTCTCTTATTTTCTCCCTGCTTCTCCCTCCAGCACTCCCTCCTTCTATGTTCCTCTGTATCTCCCTTGTCATCTTCCAGATTCTCCCCACCTCTCTCTGTCTGTCTTTCTCCAGTGGCTACAGTGAATGATCTTGCCTGCAGGGGCCTAGACAAGCTGGAGGAGAAGCTGCCCTTTCTCCAGCAACCTTCAGACATGGTAAGACACCAGACCATGGGGACGTGCAGGGGGTGGGAGGGAGGAAGACTGTCTCCTCCCAGATGCAGCCTGAACCCCTCTGGCAGCAGGACCCTGGGACTTTGGTCACCTCAAAAAACACCAGCCAGATGAAGATAATTGGCACCCATATTTATTGAGCACTTAATATGTGCCAGTAGGTGCTGATAACCCCTTCAACGACCATGTGAGAGAGATTTTTTTTTTCCCCCAATTTATAGAGGAGGAATTCTGGCCCAGAGCTGGGAATTGGCCAGGAATCCTTGACCCCTAGCCCCAGGGGCCAGGGAAGGGAGCCAGACTCTAACAGCACCTGGATCAGAGGCCTCTCCCTCTAGGTGGTAACCTCAGCCAAGGACGCAGTGGCCAGCAGTATGACTGGCGTGGTGGGCCTGGCACGGCAGAGCCGGCGCTGGAGCGTGGAGCTGAAGCGCTCCATGAGCCACGCTGTGGACGTTGTGCTGGGCAAGTCGGAGGAGCTGGTGGACCACTTCCTGCCCATGACCGAGGAGGAGCTTGGTGAGGCCAGGGCCCTCCCCACCCCACCCCTGAGTCCTCCTGCCCAGTCCACATCCCCGGAGGTTACAGATCAGAGAGGTTCAGGACTCGCTCAAGGACATGACTGATCAGCAGGAACGTGGGCCTGGAGCCTAGCCCCGACCTCCCACTCTACTTCCATGGCCCCCCCAGCCCACATTCTCCTAGAAACAGACCACCCAGACCCCAAGGGCATAATTGGCTTAAAGACTTGAGAGAGTCATGGTCTCGAACTGCTAGTTCTCCAAATTATATCATCTGGACTGTACGATGCCTTTAAAATCTTTTGATTTACTGTATGCATTTAACAACGAGCTTTTGCCCCACACATCCTGAGTCCCCTGCTGGGAACTGGCCTGCAGGGAGCCAGACTGCAACCCAGGTATGTGCCCTGACTGGGAATCGAACTGCGATTGTCTAGTTCGCGGGCCCATGCTCAATCCACTAAGCTACACCAGCCAGGGCCAAAACTTTTAAAGAATAGTCTAGAAGCCCTGGCTGGTGTAGCTCAGTGGATTGAGCGTGGGCCTGCAAACCAGAGGATCGAGGTTCCATTCCCAGTCAGGGCACATGCCTGGGCTGCAGGCCAGTTCCCAGCAGGGGACTCATGAGAGGTAACCATACATTGATATTTCTCTCCTCTCTCCTTCCCTTCCCCTCTGAAGATAAATTAAAAAATCTTAAAAAAGAAAGAATAGTCTAGAGCCAAAGTGTCTAGGTTTGAATCCCAGTTCTGTTTTTTGCACACTGTAGAACTTCATCTCTCTTTTCCTCAGTTTTCCCCATCTGTGAAATGGGGGGCTAATAAAAGTCCCTAC